CTAAGCTTTAATTAATTTATACAAAATTATTATATATGCAAATTGTATAATAGTAATAGCTTATTATAAATAAAAAATAGTTTATTTATTAAAAATTTAGTTATTATTTTATCAGTTTAATAGTAAAAAATAAAAAGTAAAAGTTCTTTACCAACTTGTACTAGATGCAAATACACTTGACTGTTTGAAAATTTTATTATTAAAAATGATATTTTGGCTTATTGTATAACTTGTTATATTAATATTTTGTAAATAAAAAAAACAAAAATAACAAAAAACTACTAATCTTATAGTTTAAACCAAAATTTATTAATCATTCTAATATTACAGATTTTATCTATTATGCTCTTTTAAAATATAACAACTTAAATGATAACTTTAAATAATAAGCCTGTTTTTAACTTTAATTTAATATTAATCTTAATTTCATTTATAAAAATATTTCAACTGATATTATACTAAAAGAAAAAATTTATAAATTGTTAATTTAATAATTAACAAAATTAGTAATAGCAATGAATATATATATGTATTTAACAATACATATAATAGTAAAAATTATAAGAGATAAAATTATTATCAAGAATAAAAGTTCAAATAATACTTCAAATTGCAACATCTTTTTACCAAATAGCCAATATTCAAATCAATTCCTTTAAATCTATCTTTATATCAAATCAACCCCAAACTACTACTCAATTCTTTAATTCTATACTTACATCTATTCTAGCCAACCAACCTCTTAAATTTCTTGGCTGCTGGTTTATACTTAACAACAAACAAACTGCACAAATTAGACTAATTCAAGAAGAATGACTCCAACTCATAAACATTGCTAGTACCAAAAAAATTACAGATAAACAAATAATTTATATTATCAATACAATTATTATTTCCACTTTAGAATACCAAATATATAATATAGTTCTTTCTCATTCTGTATGCAACAAAATTCTAGCCAAATATTTAACTGTAGCCAAACATAAATTTCATCTAGCCCATTCCATCCCAAACAGCATCATGCTTAACTCATTCTTATATAATATACACAATATTTGGAACATTTAGCTTCAACATCATATATCTAACTTTATATTATGAATTAACAACCCTGATTTACTAGGAACTTCTACATGCATTTGACTACAACAATTACAAACAACTTCTGATTAACTACTAATATATTACAATATCCCTAACCTAATATTGATGGACCTAACAGATATACTTTAAACTTTAAAATTATCTAACTTTTTATATACATTAACATGTTTATAACAGCTAATAATAGTGTATCTTGGCTTAATATTATACAATACAATCTTCAATCACTTGAACCAATTATGTCCTCCTATTCTTAATATACTATCTTCAAAAAATAACTTAAAAAACTCAATATCTTGTATCTTGAACAACTCTGCACTGCAGATAATACTACTCTACTCCAATAGAATTATCTTTCATCATACTTAGTACAGCTACTCAAAGGATGTAAGCCATCTTGGTTTACATGTCTAAAAAATACTGTAACAACTAATAACAGCTTTAGAACACTACTTCCACAATATTAACAAACCAGACATAACCTTTTTGCTTACAACTCTTAACATATCTCTAAAAAACTTAAATTCTAGTTACTAATATACAATAATAATGATATTATTATTGGTGATATTTTAAAAACAATAACCAAATCTCTATTATATACTGAAAAACAAATATTAATACAGAACTTTTTATTCACTATCCCCTTCTATCAATTTAATGCTTAGCTTGTACAGGTTGCTACCTCAATTCTCATAGAGTGACAAATTGTTATACAATTAATATATCATCAATAATTTCTATCCAATTTCTTGAAAGAGTCTTTTTTAATACTCTCAACTTTAATGTAAACTATATTGATCTGATTTATTTAACTTCAATTAAACATCTATTATCTCTACCTTCTGTCTCTACTATCTATATTTCTAACTCTCCTACATTGAAAATTTTTGAGCAATGAGAAGTCACACATATACTTGAACAATATTCTTTTACCAATACAGTACAAAATACATTTAACTTCTATACTAATGGCTCTGTAATTAATATTGGTATAGACCAATGTACAATGGGTATTGGATAGATACAAGTTAATGATTCTAACCAAATAATTTACAAATTCTTAGCTAAAATCTATTACTGGTCATCTTCTTACAAAACTAAACTAATGTCAATTTTTTCACTGTTTTAATCACCCCTCACAACTCAATAATTAATATCTTCACTAATTCTCAATCCATAATTACTAAATATTCAAAAATATATACTATCTTTTCAAACCTTAATAAGCTTTTCAAATTCAGTTCATGCTCTATATGGCATACTCTGCTTAATATTATTAAATCTTATAACCACCAGATTAATTTTCACAAAGTACAAGCCCATTCCAATAATATCCTTAATAATTTAGCTGACTCACTAGCAAAACAACATAATTCATTATTTACATTATACTTTAACTATATAAGCATCTATAATCCATATTATATAATTTTTTGGGATCAACATTTTATTGAACATTCAACTAGAAGCTTCACTAAAAATATCTGTAGAGCCTACATTTTAGCAATGTGGTCTTCCCAAAAATGTAACACAGAATGAGAAGTCCTGGTCTCTCAAATTGATTAGATATCAACTTAGTTATTTTTTAGTCATAACCAAAAACCAACTTATAATGTCACTAACTTTAAACTCAACTATCTTAAATTTTTCAAAATTAAAATCTTATTAAATAAACTCTCTATCTATTTTCATTTTTACAAAACTTATCATACACATTTTACAATACTAACTGTTTTAACTACAATCTTGCTAATTCTTCAACCTATTGGCATACATGCTCAAAACCATTACTTATCTTCAATATTATTCAAACTAGGATATCCAAATACATTAATCATACAGACCTTGACTTATCTATAAATCAACAAAAAGAACTTATTCATAAAATTAGTAATCACTATGCCTTTTATCCTATACCTTTTCAAACTAATTAATATTATCTTGATATTACACTTAAAAAACTTATCTCTAAATCTCTAATTGAGATTGTACAAAAACTTTAGCATCTTATACAAACTAGTTTTACAAATAATTATTGTTATTCTGCTTAAAGTTAATGAATTTTCTTATGAACAAATATGGAAACCATATTGTATAAACTTTGCTAACTAGAAACAACAACAAGGTCTTAAACCACCTTATGCCAGACCCTTATTTCAATTAAATTAAAATAACAAAAAAACCTCTAATCACAAAAATTATATTTATTCTTGTCTTTGTGAGCTACCTGACTAACTACACTCCAATTTTAATACCTGTTCACCTATTGGCTATGATATTTATAAAATCAATATCTAAATCATTCTTTGAATCAAATATAATATTTCTTATAATTATATTTTAAACTTACAAATCTAGATGAATTTTGACCACTCTAGTAGGTTTAGATCACAGATAAATATGTCTAAACTTTTACTCTTGAATGTAGTTTTTCTTTTATTTGTACTTAGAGTAGCTTTATAGTTAGCAGATTAATAGTTTAGCCCTGACTGCAAGTGTTGGTTTTAACCATACCATTTATATAGAAAATTATTTTTTGTACATAGCAGCTCCATGTAGCTACTAATTTTTAAACTACTAATAAAGATATGAGCAAGGCTTCACCTTAATACCAAAAAAAAAAGTTAAAACAATAATATACAATATAGTTAAAGCTTATAAATAGTATATAATTATTGATTTGTTATAATAAGGCTACACCAATTTGATTATCTGTTTAATATAACCCCCCTCCTAGATTTTGGAATTTTATATGAGTCAAAACACATCATATTAGCCAATCAAATTGCAGCATTAGTAATTATGTGTATTCAATATTTTTTACATTATTTCTAGCCAATAAAATTACAGGTTTTTTTTTTTTGTACTTTTTTTTACAATGCCCCACCCCTCTTCTACAGGCTATCCTATGTTATGTTAAACAGAGAATCAAATTGGTGTGGTTTAACCAGCTCTGTGAATATTAAATAAAACATCTTAAGAAAATGCAAACAAGTTAATATCAGAATATCAACTTGCTAATAAAGAAGTTTGCATATATATAAAAAAACTTATTACAAAATATTTTAATTAGCAAAAAGAAAACAGATTATTTATAAATTATCAATATATAATTTTGATCAAATGTGTTACTAAAATGTATCAGCATTGCCATAACAATGATCTAATTATGATATAAGCATAGCTGTGAAGTAAGTAGTATGTCTTAAAACAATAAATTCTTTGAGCAAGATCTTCATTTAAAAAAATCAGAATCTTATACACAACTATGATATTTGAATCATATTGGAGACTTCTAAAAAAAGATCATCTTTATAAATTTAATTATCCATATTTAGACCTTTTCTGCTTCATAATTGTAAAAAATGTTTATAATATTTATTAATTATTTTTCTATATTATTTTATTTTTTTTTAGTTATTTATTTATTTATTTTTTAGTTTATTATATAGCAAGTTGATACATATGAATGTCAAGTCACATCATAACAAAAAGAATTTCAAAAAGAATGAAACTCTTTGATATTATGACCTTGTGACTTTAATAAATACTTGACAAATCATGAATATTGGATTTGCTTCTGCCCATATTTTGTAGTAAGTAGATTTTTTTATGCAAGCATTTGGTTTTTCCAATTGGTCCAAAATCAAATGCATTTTTTTTATCAAGTTTGTGTTATATAACTACAATTATGTAATTGAAACTTGATTTAAACTAACTTGCTGTTTAATATTTAGGATATTTGTAATTCTAAATATTCATTAATTTCAATATCACCATGTAATCCTTGGCAGGAAATTCAATCAGCTTGTAACCTCAAAAAACTTGATAATGATAATGAATCTCTAATCAATAATGATAAATCTATTAATGCAATTAATAAACCTTTTACTATGAATATATCACAAGAACTTTATGAAACAAATGACAGCTTTCCTGATGAAATTAAATCAAAACATGACTTACTATATCAAATTTTAAATGAGGTATGTTAGTGTTTGTAATTTTTTATATTCTCTTGCTGAATTATTAAATCTATTTTATTAAATAGGCACAATGCATTCTTAACGAATCAAAGTCAGTTCATAACTGCCAAAGATTTTTTGAAAACATGGAATCGAAGTTAATTCCTCTCAAGAAATTTGTCGAAGACATTTTGAAGCATGAGAAGAGGCATACATTGCCACGAACTTGGAAGGATAGTAATAAAAATACGCAATACTGCGGATAAATAATAATGCATACATGTACTGAAATGCTTTATTTTGCGAAATGTGAATTTTAATTTTAATGCTGAAAGCTTTATGAACAAACAATGTATCTTTGTGTAATATGCTCGCGGAATTACTTTTTTCGCAATATACATATCGATATATATATGTATTTGATATCCATATCAGTACTAATAAATTGATCTGCGAAATTTACATCTCGACAATCATATGATTGGTCGGAAGATCACCTGACTGCGCCCTCGATTGGCGGTAACACTAGGACTTTTGGATATATGCCGTTTCGTAGATCTCCGCAATAATGATAATTCCGGCCTTAGGGAAGTGAGAGAAATCCTAAGGACCTTCTGGATGTGGAGGGAGAAAAATATGGCAAATGGTTGAGAACCAAATTTACTCGTTTTTGAGGGTTTATATTTGTATTCATATTTCAATTATAAAAAAGTCGGATAATAGTATTTTTGATGATTTAGTGCAAGTGTTTGATAATGGCGTGAAAAAACTTATCAGTCTTTTTTAATCTAAAATTTAATCTAATATATTATTGAAGCATGAAATGATTGAATTTTGTTTTATAAATGAATTATAAATGATTATTTTTATTGATTTTTTCAATTTTGAACATGAGATAGAGAAAAGGCTTTAAATAAAATGTATTTTATTAACAGAATACAAATAAAAAAGATTTTGTACCAATGATAAAGGAAAAATACACAAAAAATAAAATCGAATTGTTAAAAAACCTATCTTATAAAAAATTTAAAGGATAAGTCTAAAAGCGAGAACTGATATCGAAACATTCAATCGTGTCGTCATTATGAGCTCATTTATCGACTATTTAAATAAAAAAATCCCACTAATAAGTTATAGATCAAATTTAAGCTTTTGACGATAATTGTTTTAATAAATTAGCCGCATTTTGGTTACCACATTGTGAAGCTGTTTCTAAATAAATCAAACCTAGATCCTTATCCGGTTGCATTTTAAGCTTTCCATTCACATAAATATTACCCAATTGAAATGTTGCTTTATGATTCTTATTATTATTTGCCAATTTTAAATAATGTAAAATTTCATTGCGTTTTTCTTCTTCACTAATATTAGAATCATTTTTATTGAAATTATTAATCAATGAAACCGCGTACCGATATTGTGCATCAGCAACAGCTTCTTTATATTGTTCATTTTGATCATTATTATTATCAGCAACTTCCTTGAAAAGTTGAATTGCACTATTCTCATCTTTTTCGACAATATACCCATTAAATAGATAATATGCTTTCCAATATTGTGCTAATGGATTGCAAAGATTAGCATTTTCATCAAAACATTTCCATGCACTTTTGCGATTCCCGGTACGATGAAATTCGATTCCTTTGTCAACGGACATTAACGGATTAATTGATTGAATATCTTCATAAAAAATTACATCATCATCATCAAACGGTAACTTTGAATTTTCAGCGTCCGCTTTTATACCAAAATCTAGTTCACCGTCTTTTAAAAGCTGTGGAACAAAATGAGAAATAGGATTATATGCAGCTAATTTTTCAAGTTCGCTGTGTAACTGCATAAGGTCTATTCGATGGTTTGGTTGTGTCTGCCATACTGTTTATACTTTAAGTTAAAATTAATATAATAAATTGAAAAAATAGAGACTATTAACTTACCTTTATCAATTATTTCATTAAACTTTTTCTGAATTTTTACATCATTATTGTTACTATATTTTCCTATTGCAAGTTTTTCTCGTTTACCACTTAAAACATATTCCGGCACTTGTTTTGTTTCATAAGCTTTGTAAGGAATTTTTTCATAACAAAGTTCCCAGATGAGCATTCCAAAACTAAATGTGAAAAATAATAAGTAACGAATAGAGGATAAAGAAATTTATAATGGCTACAAAATTACCTAAACATTTCACAATTAAACGTATATCCACTTTTATCAGGATTTTCTCGACATTTTTTAATATATTCGGGAGCCATCCAGCGAAACATTTCTAATTGTTTATGGAATGAGTAACCGGTAGTATTCGCTTCTGTTTCGCGAGCGTATTTAAAATTTCCAAGTTTCGGATCCAAGTTTTTGGTCACCTATAATTTAATACATTATAACTTATTGATTTTTATTATTCTTATGTAACATTTTTATCATGCTTTATGAGTAACATTTTATCATACTTACAAAAACATTTTCACATCTAATATCATGATGAAGAATTTTTACTCTACGTAAAAAAATGAGGCCTTTACAGATGTCACGAATAATTTGTATTTTTCTATTCCAAGGAATATCAAATTTTTCATAAAGCTCTTTCAGATTTCCATGTTCAGTCCATTCGAAGATCATGTGTTCACTGTTATCAAAATATGAAAGACCATAAAACTTGAGAATGTTTGGTGATAAATCTGATAAACTTAATTGTCCGAGGATTGCTAATTCAGTTTGATTTTGACTAGAATCTTTGATAAGTTTGATAGGTTTACATGCAACTTCAGTACCAAAATAATACTTTCTAACAACAGAACCTCTACAAGTATCTCCCGCTGTGGGTTTTGTCAGTTTATTTTCATCGATTCTTTGTAAATGGATATCATCTTGTCTTATATTCAATTTAAGCATTATCTTATCAAGTTTATTATCCATACCAAGGATGAGTTTCTCGAGTTCCTAATCCAAAGATGAAAAAGAAACTTAAATTAATTTACTAAAAAATTGATATAATAAAAATTATGATGCTCCAAAAATACCTTTATATCCTGATCAACTTTTTGGGCATCTTTAGCTCTTTGATTTTCATCAGCGATTGCTATGGTAAAATGTAATTCTTTCATACAAGTATCAAATTCTTCTGTCAATTTATCATATGTTTGCCTAATTTTATTGGCTTCAAAAATTTTTTTAACACCTTCAATCTTTGATACTTTCTCGGTAAAATTTTTAATATCAGTTAAAACATTTACGAATTTTTGAAGAGAATAATAATATTCTTTTTCATAAAAATGTTCTTCATTTTCTTCACTTCTAAGCATCATTTTCTCTAAGGCAAATTCGGCATTTTTTACTCGGTCGATCATGATAGTACATAATTTTTTATTACATTCTACATTTTCATAAATTTTATAAATTGCTTCAACTAAAATTTTCACTGTACCAACTATAGGAACATATTGACTTACAATTTCAGCAGTAACTTTAGCTGTAGATGCCATTGCATTCAATGTACTATCAGATGAGGGGCTGGTCATAATAAAAACAATTTATGCCACTGTAAATTTATGAATTTACAGAGTCTGAATAATTACGTATCGGATAAAAGAGTCCGCCTTAAATATAAAGAGTGCATATTGCACATATGTACAGCATGTACACATAAGTAAACATTATTGGTAATCAGTGTATAGATAATCACTCATTACACGGAAATCGGCAAAATAACATTTAAAAACTAAAAAAAAGAAGCTAATTATTAGCCGGTCGGCTAGACAAAATCATATATGAGAGCTTGTGTCTAAGTACTTTACCCTTCAACAAATTACTTTTTTTAAAATTGAGTCGGCCAATAAGCGTACGTATTGGATTCCATATTAATATGGATTCTTACGACCGCTGTTCACATGATGCAAGACCCACTCACAAGCTTTTATAGTATAGATAATTAGGAATTACGTATATCATACTAATTATATTATACTTCCGTACGTACATACTTGCTCGCTATCTCACCGCCTTAGATCTGCATGCACAATTAGGAAGACAGGTTCAGTTAGGATAAGCTTTTTTGAAGTATTTGGGATATTGTTTTATAAAGATATCAAGAACGCAACTTGTACAATTTGTAAATCATTACGTAACGAACCTGGCTTTAACGGACCCCTCAATTAGTATTAATGGTTGCACTTCTGCGCCTAACCTGATTGCTTCCGGATATTCTTGCTTAGCTATGTTAGCCTAAAGAATATTATCTGGTAATCGCTGCATTTAAAATGGTTAATAGTTAACAAATAGTTTGTTCTATCTTTAATTAGTAATAAGGTAATGGCACCTACACAGAAATTTGCGTTTCAAGTTCGCTATAGTTAAATTTTAAATTCGCACTTACAGGTTTTCTCTTGACAGCACTCACATGCGTAAGATCTGATAAAAATAATAAATTGATGCTAAAAATCACAGTACCGTAATTAGAAAAATACTTATTATGTCATGCATAAAATATCAAAATGACTCATTAGACAGGCTTTAAACACTAATGTATACTACGAATATATACAAAAAAATTCTTTCGCACTCATCTTTGATAATCAGTGATTATCTGACAGCTTACTATGATTTATCTGCCCAATAAATTTATTATTGGGCAGAAACGAAAGTCTAAAATAGTTTAAATTTTGCATCTGCCTAATAAATTTATTATTAGGCAGAAAATTATAGTAAGCCTCCGGATAAACCCGTTATCAAGCATGCTGATACTGCTTTATGACTTAATTATTTGGTCAAGGATAAGGATGGCTCCGAAAGTAGGTACTTTCGGTACCTACCGAAATCGAAAGTCTACCGAAAGTACTTTCGAACAGGGT